ATGAAACTTGCTCATTATTTTCTAAATATAGATCCTCTTGCTTTAAAGTATATATACAGCATGTAAAGTTTGAATAGGAGGATGAGTTGAAGTGGCTCAAAGAAGTACGTGAACTTTCTGTGTTTGTGCTATCTTGGTTATACCTTTAGTCTTTAAGGACTACTGTTAGGATAACTTAAGTCTCGGTGTGTGACATTTTATGGTGACAGTTGAGTGGGATTTTAACTGAAATAAACGTTTCAACGAGCCCAAAAGGATAGAAAAAAATGGCACACAGAGATGAAAACGAAGCCGATGCAATTCACGTTGCCCCTCAAAGACCAGTGCCAGTTCCTAGGCCTAGGAAAACGATTGTCGATATCCAGCCTTTTACAGGGAGGGACAATGAAGACATAACAGAATGGATGATTAACTGGGATATTGCAGCAGTGGCAAATGGTTTGACCGACGAGAACCAAATTCAGTTGATCCCAGCATACCTGAGTGGACGAGCAGCCAGAATGTTTTGGAGAATCCCTTTAGAAGAAAGACAAGACCTGGAACAGCTAAAGGAATCCTTAGAAGATCATTTTAATACAGAGGAGAAGAAGTTCCTAGCTCGACAGAAGCTGCAAGAGATTGCCCAAGGACCAAAAGAATCAGTTGCAGAATTCTCAGAGAAGATCGACAAGTTGGTGATTAAGGGACACGATGGCTTGGATAGCCTTGAAAGAAAAGATCGCATAGCGTGTGAATTTTTCATTAAAGGCCTTCGCCCGGAAATAAAAGAAACAGTGTGGGAAAAGAGCCCTCGTTCGTTCCAAGAAGCGATTACCGCAGCAGAGCGCAGAGAAGTATTTCTAAATTCATTGGGAAGGAAATCTCGCGTAAATACGATCTCTGATGATGTTATGGCAACCATCCAAAAATTCAACGAGGAACGGGTGAAAAGCAACGAAGAGATCTGGAAGGCCATACAGAACCTCACAAAAGCGGTAGAGAGCCTTGCCTCCCAAGCAGCCAACGAAGCCCAACTAGCCTCACAAGAACCAGTTGTTGCACTTCAACCCAGTCGATATCAGGGAGCTAGACGACCACCCAATGGACATGTTGTGTGCTACCGTTGCAACCAGCCAGGACACATTCAACGAAACTGCCCTCAAGCCGCCCCCCGGAGAAGTCAGCAGCAGAAC